TATGTGCGCATTTGAGTACACCGATAAGCACTACTTACCAAATTAGCACAATTGCTACTGACAAGCTGACAGCAGTACAAACGTTTTATTTAACTGCAGAATGTAAGACACGTCACAAATTCCATTTCAAATAAGCGCACGGCATTATCGGGTGTAAATTGTAATTTGGAATTTGATGTCAACTGAATAGCTTTTAACTGTTAAAGGAAATAATCGCCTTGATAAGTTCTCCTGTGACTAATCAAACCAAAACTGGCAGCCGTTTGTTTTACAATTTAAATTTACGCACTGGATCCAGGTAATTTTATTGGAAAAAACACAGTCAAGTGTGAAGTTTAATTAACCTTTGAAGCATTTTTATAAGTTTAGATTAATATGGTGAATAGTAAAATAACAATCACATGTCAAAATGTACGAGTCAGTAATCTTCGGTAGTTTAGACATGGATTTCCGTCAAAAATGGGCACTTTAACGGCTTCATTAGTAAAGGTGTAGAATACCCGAGCCCTAATAGGTAAAAGACCGGTACAACAGAACAGGCTTTATTGACCAATCAGAAGCCAGAGCCACAAGTCAGGCGCCTTCCATCCGAGTCCGCCACGCTGGTCACGCCGCTCATTATATACTGCATTTCATCCATGTCCTTCTCTGGTTGGCTGCCTTCCTTTCCCGCGTGCCATTGGATCGCAGAGAGACACGGGATTGGCTGAGGCCAGGTGGTCCAACATGTCTGCGCCCTGATCCGACGCCACACTGCCTCCCCCTTAGGAGTGAAGCTGCCCTCAGCTTCCGGATTGGTTCGCCGCACTGTTGTTGAAATCCAATGTTGATAAAATATCCAGTTCGACACTTCCCGCACCCCACATCTGGCAGGTTAGTGGCCCATGCGAATAGTTGACGAGGGACTTTGCTCATGTAGACTTGCAGGAAGGACTCATCATTCATCGAAGGTCCTTCGCAGATGCAGTCCAGCTGGCTTTCACTGTCCAAGTCGTCGTCGCTGAGTTGCCAATGCTTCTTCAGATGCGGGTATTCTACAAAGGATTCTGTGATTCTGATAAGGTAGTTCAAGTTCCTTCGTTAGATTCGGTCGTCTTGAAATCGCTCCTAAGAAGATGAGAGCAGCGTTCACTACACATTTCACCACAAGATATGTGCCCCGACAGAAGCATTAATGACTTTATTTATCAAATGCGTACAGTTTGCTGTCAAGTAGAAATCTCCTATTGCTGAAGCGCCATCACTAACTAATGAAGAAATGTTTAACTTTTATTTAACTTACATACAACCACAAGCTACTTAGTCGTTACCTGGCCACAAATGTACACAGAAGTTCCCATATGACCTCTAACAGCACCAATAAATGCAAAGTTTTTTAGTTACTGACCAATCACTACAAATCACCCACCAAGCTTGAACGTGTAATGATGGGTTTGCTTTGGCCAACGAGCGCACGAAACAGAAACCTAGTGTTTTTACGGCAGTGGCCTAAGTATGCATGGAGCCGCAGTTAAGTCGCCACGAAGGCCCTGTTAATCGACACTTTACACAAATCAAGTTTTACATACTCAGACGAAGGCAGCATAGGTTGTGTCAGAGGCAGAAGTACCTTTGTAATGGCCTTGTCAAGCTTGTGCGATTGCATCCTAATCGGTGCATTTCAATGTAATCACCATGTTAAGTGCTTACGTACGTTGTAGAACCAAATATAAGCAGAGCCAGATGACAGTTCATTGCCCTTTGTACTACTTAAAATGACATGGGTACTAGTTGGCTTTTATTTGCACTTCATGCCCAGATGCGTTCCATAATAGTAACCTGTGAACTAGCACGTCGATTTTGATTTATCGTTCGTTTACTATTCTTAAACCAGTGCTCCAGAAGCACTCTCACCAGTTAGTATTCCTTGTGTGAATGCTTGCTTGTTTGTGGATTCGAGGTTCATTTCATTCCACATGAACACCAGAGTCGACAGTCACGCGACACCGATACCCAGACGAGAGATGAGGTTTCAAATGGTGAAGAGAACGAGGATAAAGCGATTTTCAAAAACGAGTTGTAGAAACAGGGGCATTTGATGCCCAAATGAAATTCGGCAGCAGCAATTACAATTTATATGTGAAAGTAAGGCAAAAATGTCATTGGTCACTGAAAACACTGTTGTCAAAATCATTAATTCTGATGGAATGGATTTTAGGACTTGAACCACCCAGGTTGATTAGTGGCAATGATAACGTAGCTTATGACACGATATCTTTGTACACGACATGCATTCTACTACCTGTCGCATTAGTTAGCTCACACGCGTATGGTCATTTTGACCATTCATCAATGGCCATACTGACATGCTTATGGTTATATGAAGCAGGCAAACACTTCTGTATCTGTTCCCATCTGCCCCGTGAACAAGACTGTCTGAAGAAGATAGAGACAGAAGCGTGGAGGGGTGCATCGTTATCTTAACTGCGTTGGTGGCAGCGTCGAGATTTGAAATCAGTAATCTGCAGGTAGCGTGTACTGCGTGCAGCAGGTCTGGCTAATACAACCTTGCTAGTTATATCATCGAAAAACAGCTTAGAGTCATGGTGCGGAGGGTGATGCGCTTGACTGCTTGCCAGATTCAAGTGGAATTCAATTAAACGATGCCACATAGATTGACTTACGCAGTCGTAAATTTCAGTCCACTTTTACATGGAGGAATCATGTAAGTGAAGAAAATACTCAATTTTGCATTGTATCTCTACACATTTGAATGTACTGCTAAGCACGCATTGGCAAATTGGTACAGATGCTACTAACAAGCTGACAGTGGACTGAAGAGTATTCACCTGGAGAACATGGCGGAATGAGAATACTTCTTGGTGCATTGTTCACGTGGCCTGATGGCGAAGCTTTTAAGGAATTAGGGGTGATCATGTAGAAAAAGACAATGCTCTTAACTAGTCAAAACACTGGGAATCTCGGCAACAGTTACAAACATAGCGATCTTGCACCTGTTTTACTGCAACATTACGCCGATTGAAGAAATATAAGGCTCAAGCAAATAGGTGTGTGCAAGATAGTGCACGAGACACACAAACTGTGCATTTGGTGCAGCCATCCATGCAATACCATCTGTGACATGGCGTAAAGCTAAAATGGTGCAAACGTTGTATGGCGCGTTGTGTTTGGAGGTGAGCGGTGCAGGAGCATAGTTACTTACAAGACGCTAACGTTAATGCCTATTGAGCAGTTAGATGGCTCAAAGCTGCTGTCTTCAAACTACGCTTGCATTATTCACAGCGATAGAAAGAATGGCCGACAAAGCACCAAGACAGCTGACTTCCACGAAGAGCACTTTGCCCAAATATTTAGTACCATTAACGAAAACAGGGATTGCACCAACGAAGTACCATTCGAACAATCAGGACCTTCATTCACTTAACTGGAAATCCTGCAACCAGACATGCCATTGGCATCAACCACATGACAAAGTGCCTTACCGGATGCAATGGCGAGGAAGTGTTGAAGTTGATGTGGATTATCACAAGACTCAGACTGCTTCACCAGATATCAGTGAACAAAATATTCATGCGCATTTCAAGGAATTTCGCAAAAACATTCAAACATCGACTTTGAACCAACTGAAACAAAGTGATGGAGGCAATTTGATTTGTAGTAAAATCCGCTTAACGATCTCGCCCCTTGCCGCGAATGGCTCAAGCAAATAAAACACCCAGTGTTGCACACCTAGTTTAAAGCAGCACGATGCGGCAATTGAATGAGGAACCACGATGAGGTCTTTGCAGTCACATTCTGTTGCATTGCGTCGTGTTTATTCATAAGCGGATTTGGTCGGCACAGCCAAGCATCCAGTCACCTGAACCGCATATTTTGGACATCGCGAAATATGCAATCGAAAGAATTTCAGTCATTTTTACATTTATTTTTAAAGCACACTAGGTTCTAGCCTGCACACGACTTCCTTGATTTCAAATTTGAAACATCGTGTTTCTTACAGTCAACCCACCAGCACAATTCGTGTTGAAGACAGTGTGGGTGGATGTTATTTTCAGCTGAGAGTAAACATTATTTCAGACGATTACTAAGTTCAAATATTTGGCTTCTGTTTGCAATTCACGCAGTTGTAATCACAGAGTGATTAGAATGTCATGTCACCATTTATAAACCTACGTCAAGTGAGCGTAATTTGACGATCACCAACTAATGTGTGTGCGTTATGTATTTGCATTCTGTGTGAAAGCCAAGACGTGTCATGCAGGGAACGGCTTCAGCAATGATACTCGTTCATAGCAAATGTACAATGGCAGTTTGACGCGAATTGCATCCTTGAAAGAGTACAGTCAAATATGCAGTCAGATATGCAATCAAATTAGAAAATGAGAAGCAGCACAACATCAGTTGCAGCGGACGCAGCTTTATTACCACTGCGTCACATCAATTTGCCTTTGGACAGTACACTGGCATCTGTTGTGGTGGAAATTACGTGGTTTCTGGACACCGGTATCACAGCTCCGACAGTTTCATCTACTCCTCTTTTGGCAAACTAATCATGGCAGTGCAAAAGAGCATTACGGATTTTAGCTGTTTTCAAGACTGAACATCACTCTACAATAAAGACTAAGAAAAAGACACAGATGTGAAAAAGTAAACGAGACGATATCGATGACAGCTTGCCTACATGGTAACACGAAGAGAGCACATGTGGAGTCTGCTACGTGAAGAGGATATGCTGGACAGCACACCATCAGGTTGCAGATTGAAGACCTTCCAGATTAAAATGACCTGTCCGTATCCAGAGCACACTCCTACGTTTTGGGCGCTACTCGCTCCACAAAGTGCGTGAGTTTTCACTACTGCAGCACAAATGAGGATACCATGTAAGATTTGAGAGTTACGCTACAAGAACCAAACGGTGGTGTGCGTAATTGGTTCTGTAGCATCGTGGAGGATCTAGCTGCATGGACAGAATTTGCATGTGGTTGCTAAGCTCCTTGAGATTAAGCGTCATGCCGGAGTGGTAAACGGCGATGCCACGGACAGCGAGATTGCGCAGCAGGATCACTTGCGACACTTCCTTGTCGCATGCCTCCAGTCGTGTGCTGAGGCATTTGTGCAGCACACTGTTGTCGATTTATAGCCACATGAGCATCGCGCATCAGTGTCTCAAGGGCCTCGTAACCAAGGTGATGACATGCCCTACGAGCCTGTTGCAGGATCTCACCAAGGCGTTTGAAGGCTCTGAGCAGATGGCCTTCGTCGGCGCCAGATA